CCCGCCGCCGGCCGGGGCGCCGCGCCTGGCGCTCACCGAGGCGCAGGTGTCCGCCTTCCGCGGCCAGGAATGCATCTTCGCCAAGGCGGGCGAGCTGAGCCTGTGCCCCGCCGCCGCCCTGCCCGCCCTGTGCCAGCCGGGCGACCTGCTGGAGCTGCTGGCGCTGGGGCCAGCCGAGCACCCGCCGCACTGGGCCGTCTACGTGGGCGGCGGGCACATCGTCCACCTGCACCAGGGCCAGATCCGCCAGGACAGCTTGTACGAGGCGGGCGCGGGCAGCGTGGGCCGCGTGGTGAATAGCTGGTACCGCTTCCGCCCGCTGGTGGCGGAGCTGGTGGTGCAAAACGCCTGCGGCCACCTGGGCCTCGAGAGCCACGAGATCTGCTGGACGAACTCGGAGAGCTTCGCCGCCTGGTGCCGCTTTGGCAAGCGGGAGTTCAAGGCGGGCGGGGAGCTGCAGGCGGCCGCCGGCCCCCAGCAGCCGCCCCCCTACTATCTCCAGGTCCACCTGGGCGAGAGCGAGGTGCACACGGTGCGGTTCCACAGCCTGGAGGATCTAATACGGGAGAAGCGCAGGCTCGACGCCAGCGGCAAACTGAGGGGCATCAAAGACCTGGCAATAGTGGATGGGAAAGAATAAGGAGCAGCAGCAAGTGCTGCCTGCCTTTGCCCTGCACCTGCCTCAGGCAGAGGTGGGGGGGTGGGGAGCTGGACTCCTCCTGTCCGTGGGACCCGTTGGAAACCAGGATCCATGGCGACATTCCAAAAAAACCAAACCAGCATCCTCACACCCATAGCCACTTTTTTTTGTTTGGCTTCTAATGACGTGACTAAGGACGACCCCGAGAGAGAGAGCGAAGAAAAGAGGGTGCGTGTGTGCGTGTCTCTGTGTGTGTGATATGGGGGGGAGGGAGGGGGCGGGGAAAGCAGCGTGCAAAGTGTGTGGACAAAGTGGCTCCTGTCCTGTTTTCGGCCATTAGAGCTAACAATAAAATTTCAAATTGCTTTTATTATTATTACAATTAATTTCATGGCTTTAATCCACAACGAGGTTTAAACGTGGGGGGGACAGTCGAGTTGCATCGTGTTAGAGTTGGTTAACCAGCTCTGCCTGTCGAGGAAACACACCCAGAATCTAATAATCTGCTAGTTGGAGAGGATGGTGGAGGGGTGGGGGGAGGCATTTGTGTTTTGT